GAAAGAGCACAAGCAGGGGAAGAGCAGAGAGAGAGGAAGACAGGACTTGAAGCGGGCTCTGTGCAGACAGCAGAGAGCCCAGTGTGGGGCTTGAACTCACGAACTGTGAGATCATGACCTGAGCTGAAGTTGGGACGTTTAACCGACTGAGCCACCCAGGAGCCCCAGATTATCCCCATTTTATACATGAGAAAACTGAAGCTCAGAAAGGTGGTGTTTTGCTCAGTGTCGGAGTGCTCTTAGCCCCAGACTTTCCTGGGCTTCCTGTCTGAGCCATACCCTGAAGTCAACTTGAAGGGCCTCTTCCCACTGTCCCCTCGAGGGAGGTTCCCTGGGACCTCAAAGACCTCAGGTCCTCACCAAGGCCAGATGTGGTAAGGACCGGGGTGCATGGGCTTTCTTGTCACCACGGACTTTATGTTCTGCCATTCAGGCACCTGCAGAATTCGAGTCACGCGGGAGCTTTTGTGATTGTGAGTGAAGAAGCTATTGCCAAGGGCATCCGGAGGATTGTCGCCGTCACAGGTGCGGAAGCCCAGAAGGTGAGCACATCAGGCTGGTTCGTGGCTTATACGAACAAGGTAGGAAGAGCCCAGTCTGTGAATTAGGTAGCTGGTTTTGTAGCTGCTGCATTCAGAATTGGAAGTACAATGCTACCCCCCAAATGTCCTCGGGTTACTCCTATCTGGCAGAAGAAAGCCACCACCACACGAGACTTCCTAGCTATGTTGTGTTTGATCTTTAAAAATATATGTAAATTCTGCTATTTGCTCCATAGCATATCTGTCTAGAAGGGTAAACCATGATTTTGCTGTGGCTTCCAGTGCCCCCAGCCACTTCCTGCCATCTCCCTAAGGGTACGTGCCTAGTTTGAGATGCACTGTGTATGGGGATAGTGGCCCTGGGGGTGGGGCTGTAGCTGGTGCCTGATGTGTGCTGAAGCTTGAGGATTGATCATTTCATTGGGGTGAGAAGGCCTCCTAACTCAGGAGTTCTTGTTTATCTCCTGAGCCTGAGTTAGTGCAGCCTTTCTGCTGGTCAGACCGGTGAGGAAGGTGCTCTTTTCTGGGGTACAAGGCTGCCAACATATGCTCCTTGGAGGACAAGAAACTTCTGGTGTCCTGGGGATGTGATGTTCCATAGCCTGCCATCAATTGCCACAGTTGTTTCCAGACAAGAGTGAAGCTGCAAGTTACCTGACTGGGAGTTTACAACTCTGATTGTCTCTGTGCAGGCCCTCAGGAAGGCGGAGAGCTTGAAGAAATCTCTCTCTGTCATGGAGGCCAAAGTGAAGGCCCAGACTGCGCCAAATAAGGATGTGCAGAGGGAGATCGCTGACCTTGGTGAGGTAGGTGCGGCCTCCCTCCTCAGGCCCTGCTCAGTGCCAAGTGCTAGGCCAGATAAATCACACACTCCCTGAAGAACTCTCAGATCCTGGTTCCAGTGGCCCTTTGAACTGACTGCTGTTATCTGGCAGCCTTACAAAGGGGACTCCATGGATCCTAGTCTGTGGACCCCTGGCATCTGCTTGCTGCCCCCATTGCCGATGGCAGAGCCCGTTCCAAGCATGAGTGGGCAGCAGTGTTGAGGGAGTTGGGGGAGTGGGTACCCACTATTTCCAGGTCTCCTCATGTCTGTTAATAGGTGGGGGCTTCCTGTGAGCCCATTATAGGCTGTATTCACTGCTTGGTAGGGACCAGCGCTTATAGGGGGTCCCAGCCCTCCTTATCTGCCTCTTTCTCTCTTGCCCTACTTGTTACATCTGCCGTAGTTGCTCATAAAGTGACTGGTCTTAAGGCCAGTGGATACCTTTTTGTTTTTTGTTTTCACTCTCCTCCTGGATAGTAGTCAGGGAAGACTTTGGTGTTGAAAGACAGAAGGGTGAGATGGACTTGGGCCTCACATCCTAGTGGTCCAGGTCCCAGTGGTGTTCTGGTTCTCGTTCCAGGCCCTGGCCACCGTAGTCATCCCCCAGTGGCAGAAGGACGAATTCCGGGAGAATCTCAAATCCCTGAAGAAGATCATGGATGACCTGGACCGGGCAAGCAAAGCCGATGTCCAGAAGCGAGTGAGTCCCACAGTGCTGATGGCTGAAGGGAGCCAGGAGGATTCACCCAGCAAAGACTGTGTAGACCGCTGTCTGGGCCTTTGACCTCAGGACTCTCTTCTGGACTTCCTTGCAGGTGTTGGAGAAGACAAAGCAGCTCATTGACAGCAACCCCAACCAACCCCTTGTCATCTTGGAGATGGAGAACGGCGCCTCAGCCAAGGCAACGCAGGGGCTGGGACTGCACGTGCTGCCCTGTGCCTGTCCACTACTTGTCTCTTCTTGGGGCCTCAGCCCTCTGGTGGCTGGAGTCTGAGCTTTGTGGCTCTGAGTGGAGTGGTTGCCTGACAGCCTGCTCTCTGGGATTGAGGTTAGGCTGAGCCATGGAGAGACCTGGTGGCTGTGGAGCTACAGCTCCTGAGATGGAAGGCAAACCTCAGAGCCAGAGATGTGGGCAGGGCCTTGTTCTTGGGGCCTTCTCCGTGAGTCTCCCAGGACTAGCACCTGCTCTTAGAGGGGGTAGCAGTCGGGGGTGCTCTGAAAACTGACCTCCACAGGCTCGCTGCCCTGTGGAGAGCGTGGCTCCCCTTCCTGAGGCCACGGCCTGACAGCAGGTTTCCCCACAGGCCCTGAATGAAGCCTTGAAGCTCTTCAAGACACATTCCCCTCAGACATCTGCCATGCTCTTCACGGTGGATAATGAAGCTGGCAAGATCACGTGCTTGTGTCAAGTCCCCCAGGTCAGCACACCCTGCAGCCCTGTGCTTTTTGTCGTGGTATTGATAGCTTTTCTGAGGAAGCTTGCTTCTTAGAGTTGTTTGCCAAGACCCTTGTGTGTGGGTGCAACCAGTTAGAAAAGGCCATTCTCCTGGTCACCTGTTTGTCACCTCCTCCAGCACCGCTACCCTCAGGCCTTGTCCTAGGGGCTGTGTGTAACTGTGCTGATACCCGGCTTTGTGCTCTGCGTGCCTCACCCTGGCTGCGGGCTGGTCTCCATCGGTAGCAGCACCCAGGCAGGTGGGAGTGGGTGTCTGTGGCTCCCCCATCCTTTTTATTTTTGTCCCTTCTCCATGTCTCCCTCAGTCTCATCCTCTGTCCTGACTCCCACTTTTCCTTTTTGTCTTCCAGAATGCAGCCAACAGGGGCCTGAAAGCCAGCGAGTGGGTACAGCAGGTGTCAGGCCTGATGGATGGCAAAGGTGGTGGCAAAGATGTGTCTGCTCAGGCCACAGGCAAGAATGTGGGCTGCCTGCAGGAGGCATTGCAACTGGCCACTTCCTTTGCCCAGCTCCGCCTGGGAGATGTGAAGAACTGAGTGGTAGGGGCAGCTTCCACTGGGAAGCATCCTTCCCTCACCTGATGCATCCGTCCAGCCAGCTCTCCATCTGCCACGAGGACATGTGAATCTTCCCTCCTAACCCAGCACTAACGAACTCACCTGGGAGCTGGCCCGTGACTCAGTGCCCACGTTATGTTTCTCCCCTGAGCCCTACACACCAGCGCCATCTGTGTAAAACCACTACCCCAGGATTGCTATTTATCATTGTCATGCTCATGTCTGTAGATAGAGTTCTTTGTAGGCCTGAGGTTGTGGGTCTACGGGGAGGAATCATTTTTGCTGCAGAGAATAAAAGGACCATGTGCAATACTTGATGATACCATGTGATCTCTTAACCCCCACCTTCCCCTGTGTAACAGCCTGTGGCTCCTTGAGTATCTATCGAATAAATGCTGTGCCTCCACCTGGCTTCTGGTTGTGGTCCTCACCAAGTCCAGCTCCAGACCCCTGAAATTTGGGAATGGCCGAAATTTGGGACTACCTGAAGACACTTGTGGAGGTGGCCCATAGAATGTGGGGCTGGAGGGTGAGATGGAGAAAGGCATTAGTCATTCAATAGAAGATGGGCCATGGGGTTACTGGAAGCAGTTCATAGGAGAAGCTCTCCGTTTCCTAGGCCTGTGTCCCTCCCTTTTGATGCTGAGTCGTTGGGTGTGAGATCAGAGGTGTTCTCCAGTACAGGAGGTATTTAGGGTACATCACTTGCCTACCACCACCTCTTTGACCCATCATTCTTGGTTTCCTGACCCAAAGGTATACAGTGAGGATTGGGACCTGCCCTGGTCCTGAATCTCTTCACTCAGGTCTGAGGATAGCTGGGTTTGGAAAGTGTGCCGGGGAGGTTATGGGTACTGCTTGCTTGTGCTGGCTCTGGCTGATTTCATGTCTCTGGGGTACAAGAGGTGGCCCGGGGCCCCAGGTTCACTCTCAGTCCTGCTGGTGCAGGAGAAGGAGGAAAGCAGGCCTATGCTGGGAGAAGCAGCAGAAGCTAGCTGTCACGGCCTGGGGGCGAGAAGCTGTCCTAGCCTGGAGTGTGAGAGAAGCACACAGCGGGAGGGTGCAGAGGACCCCTAGGGATACAAAGCATTTACACAAACCAGTCAGTGCAGGAGAGGCTGTTCCATTCATCAACAAGCATTACTCCAGGTAGGGTACTGAAGGTGGCAGGAATGACCAAGACAAAAGACAAGAATCATTTTGGGGCAAGGCAGTGGGGAATATGTGTGAGATAGTCACACAAATAAGCACAAAATTAAAATAACTATAACTTGCACAAGTGAAAGGACAAAGACCTATGCCCTGGGATTGCCCTGGCCCTAGGGGCTAGAGGTCAGCCAGGCCGGCCCAGGTCTCACTTCTGCAGGCCTGCCCCGTCGCGCCATCTATTCATCCATTCACCCCTCAAGATCCAGGTGTCCTTGCTGCTGTCCCAGGGCATTGCTCCGCTCGCTATTCTCCCTCCAGGACGGCAGGGGGCGGTGTCGCGTCACCCGCCGCTATCCCGACAGACCCCGCGCGGGCGCGCGCCCTTAAGCGGGCGGAAGAGCCCAGGTCGGCGGGCGGAAGCGGCTCGCGCTCCAGGCACCGCCATGCCCGGGGACCACCGCCGTATCCGAGGGCCCGAGGAGTCCCAGCCGCCTCAGCTGTACGCGGCCGATGACGAGGAGGCGCCAGCAGCCCGCGACCCGACGCGGCTGCGGCCCGTGTATGCGCGCGCCGGGCTGCTGAGCCAGGCCAAGGGCTCGGCCTATCTGGAGGCGGGAGGCACCAAGGTGCTGTGCGCCGTGTCCGGCCCGCGCCAGGCCGAGGGCGGCGACCGCGGCGGCGGCCCGGCCGGCGCGGGCGGCGAGGCCCCGGCCGCGTTGCGCGGCCGCCTG